TTTAATCTGTCGCCTCCCCAAGCTGATACCACCCTTCTGTCAGAAAGGCAATTTTATAACATGTATATCCACCACATTTAAAATTAAACTTTTTAAAAATAAGTTACAAATATAATTTTTCAAAATCAACTGTCAATGCCGGTCTCCAGGGTTGTAAAGCCACGGGCTCTGAAGATGGAAGCAGCATGCTCCTTCGAAAAGTTTGTATCCATCTACCATATATCGTTAAAACCAGCAGGATAAATACCAATACTTTCCCTGCTGTGAGAATCTCAAATCTAAAAATTAAATGTTTATAAACAAAAGAATAAATGAATAAAATTAATAAGCAAGTTCTAAAGGTCATACTTTTTCTCAGGTGCTCTCTCCGACATGCCCGCCGTAAAGACGTTTGCTCTCTACGCTACAGTTGCCTTGCTTCTGGATTTCCTGTTCCAGATCACGTGCTTCGTCAGTCTTCTTGCGTTGGACGACAGAAGACAAGCAGTGAGTATAAACCACGCAGTTGGACACGTTTTAGAAACATCCATCGGTCAAATCTAAAGGCGCCTTAAATTTGAAACGCATGCAAGTCGGTAATATTATTGGACTAGTTAAAACCAGAATGAAATTTCGAATCCCTACCCTTCCAAATTCTGGTGCAGCCTATTTCAAATAATCCCGATCAGTTTTTCCGCGCCCATTTTATGAATAAATAAATATAAGACAAGTTAATACACATTTTAAAATGTACAACGGTATATTTATGGACGTGTGATAATAAAATCTGAACTCAAACTCTTGTACATTTAATTTCAATCTCAAACTAACAAAGTTTTAACTTGAGTAACAATGAGACTAAAATGTATATAAAAACTGCAACACTGAATTCTTTGCAGGGAAAAAGGTTCGACGTGCTCTGTTGTATTGTGTCCTCGGAGAAGAATGTTGGCTCTAGGCGACATGAAAACCTACTGAGTTACGGTTTGGAAAAGTTCTATGCGCCCTACCTTCTGGGGATTCCCTGGGTGCGCGCAGGTGTCGTATTACTGTTCGGACTGTGGCTCTGTGTCAGCATCTGCCTCTTCCCTCTGGCAGAGGTGGGACTCGATCAGGAGCTGTCCATGCCCGAGGACTCCTACGTCCTCGTCTACTTCCAAGTAAGCTGTTAACAAATTCACACTAAACCGCTTGAAGACGAAGTCACTATCTCTAATAAAACGCAACCCATAACTAACTTACGGAACCGCAACGTTCATCACCGAATTAACCAAAGCCCTCCACCGGACCCTGTCCTGGGCCAACAAAATCCAGTCTCCTTCAACTCCTATCTCCCATAGATCCCGCCTGAGATTATCCTCCCATCTACGTCTAGGTCTCCCCTGAGGTCTCTTCCCCCCAGGCTTCCCAAATAGTGGACCCAACCAACTAGATGGCTTACGGAACCCGAAGGTTCATCACCGAATTAACCAAAGCCCTCCACCGGTCCCTGTCCTGGGTCAACAAAATCCAGTCTCCTTCAACTCCTATCTCCCATAGATCCCGCCTGACATTATCCTCCCATCTACGTCTAGGTCTCCCCAGCGGTCTCTTCCCCTCAGGTTTCCCAACCAATACCCAGTGCACATCTCTTGCCCCATCCATGCGCGCTACATGTTCCACCCATCTCATTCTTCTTTACTTTGGTTTATGGTAAGAAAGGTTTATTATGAAAATCACATTAAACCCATAACTAGTACACCTTAGTGACAAAACTCGTGTATGTTTTTATTGCTAAGGCACGTGGGAACTTAGTTACGAATGGGCTTTAAAGAGTTGAAATATACAACTTTCTTAGTAAGTTTTAGGAGGTAATAATGATTTACTTGTTACAGTATATGAAAGACCTGCTCTCCATGGGACCTCCTGTATACTTCGTACTTAAAGCCGGGCTCAACTACAGTGACGGTAACATACAGAACCTGGTTTGCGGTGGAACTGGCTGCAATGCAGACTCCCTGAGTACTCACCTCTTTCGAGCTCACTTGTCTCCTGAGAGGTAACGACTAAATACGTTTTCGAATCCAACGATTTCCGCGGAAGTCTAATAAGAGCTAGTTAGCTCCACCTTGTTTTTTTACAAAATGTATAAAATGTATACATAATCAGGCGATCGTGTCCGACAGCAGGACTGACCATCCGCGTGTTTCGTCTCCGGAACTGCTGGATGGATATCGATTGAATTTGGTACTGGGATACCAACGTTAAATTTTGTAGAGCGAATAAAATTTATATTCATACAGATTCGAATAAAAACTCCTGCTTCGAATCTGAAATGCCCACGGTTAAAATCTGAACTCAGAGAATGCGTATCTCGACTATTCGCTTGAACAGTTTTGCAACAAAATTAATTTATCTAAAACGTAATGTAACTATTGGCGTCCATTTGGTTACATATTTAAATAGTAATTTATTTTAATCATTTAAGAATTTTAAGGAAAATTCGGAAAAAGTTTATGGCCGTGTGAAACGGGGAGTGTTACTGTGAGTAGAACAAACACATCGTGCTAGAAATGATGCTGTTAGTTAAGTGTCGATTTTAAAAATTTAATTTAATATTAGACGATTAGGATAAAACTGGATATATCTGCAGAACATGGGATAACATGTCTCAATTAATTTTCATATTGCTATACGATGCAAACTTTGTATTTCATAAGGCTGACTTATAGACTTATCGGGAGTATTGTAACCTAACTTTCGCTGTGTCTCTGGTGCAGTACGTACATCGCACGTCCTTCTTCATCCTGGATTGATGACTACTTCGACTGGACGACGTTAGAGAGCTGCTGTTCAGATCCTTTGGTTTTTCCAGGTACTGGTCCGATTTTCTAAGTTTAGTAGAGACAAAGATCCTGCTTCGTATTAAGTAGATCCCAGGTTCAAACCAGATCTTAACGCAACTATCCTGGTTTATGATATTCACGTGCGAAGTCCGCTTATCTATGTTTTTCCAAGGTACAAAATAGGACAAATCTGAAGACATATTCACTGACCTTTCAAGACATGTTATCCGTCACTGGTTCAACCGCTGTCCTGAAAAAAAAAAAATAATTATAATCCACAATACATCAATTTATTTTATTTTAGACAAAAATTACCGAATTAAACATGCTTCCTAATTACCTTACTGATTTATTCTTAGGTCGTATAATGATATTTTTAAACTACATAGAATTTGTATAATTGAATGAGATATGGAAGGGAAATTACGAATGATGAATTACAGAGAGTTCTAAGATGGCTGTATTCTGAGTTGTAGCGCTGTGTAGTGTGGTAGAAGTTTACAGACGTTTCAGGGGTACATGCTGCCTCATCATCTGTCAGGTTGCAATCAATAACGTGATATGTCACTTTCCAGGTACAATGCCCGAGGCATGTTCCTCGACTGTAAAGAACGGCGTCCTGCGACCCACAACTGAGGAGTTCGAACAGCATTTACCTGCGTTTCTGGTCAGCAATCCAGAACCCAAATGCGCCAAGGGTGGTCACGCGGCGTACGCACAGGTAACAAGCAAAAACGACCCCGAGGATCAAAGTTCCTGAGCACTCCAGGGTTTAATGTCGTGTTCACAAGACCCCGCCCACACTGGTCCACATCCTCATATCCCATGTATTTAAAATCCCTTTTAATATTATCCTCATATTACGCCTGTCTCTTTGTATGTGCTTCTCAACTCCGTGTCTCCCACATGTCACGGCCATCTCAACACAAATGTAGATTGTAAATGGAGTGGAAATTATTTCTGAAATAATGACACAATTCTCTTTCTAGGGGTTGAACTATCTTCTGGACGATAGAGGCAAAGCACACGCTCAAGACAGCTACTTCATGGCGTATCACACGACTCTCAAGACCTCTAAGGATTACTACCAGGCGCTGAGATCCGCCAGACGTATATCGGCTGACGTCTCAAACATGCTAAATGGATACTTAGAGTCGTCCGCCGTGGAGGTTTTCCCGTACAGGTACACCTGTCAAGTTTCATTTATGTTCGCTAATCGTTGTTCATTAATATTGTGCTTCATTACTTATTATGCTAGCGCAGCGTATGACCCAAGAAGAACGTCTAGACTTAAGATGGATGAATTAACAAAATGACGGAGAAAACTGTAATTAACAACACGAATCTCATGCTTTGTAGCGTGTTCTACGTCTTCTATGAGCAGTACCTCACCATCTGGGAGGACACATTCCAGTCTCTGGGACTGTCCCTGGCAGCCGTGTTCGTAGCCACCCTGGTGCTGACGGGTTTCGACATATTTTCTGCTCTTATCGTGTTGGTCATGGTAATCATGGTAGTGGTCAACCTGGGCGGTCTGATGTACTGGGGGAACGTATCCCTCAACGCAGTATCCTTGGTGAATCTTGTCATGGTGAGTGCTACAAGTATCCCTCAACTATTTTGGTACATTCCATGTGTAAAGTGGCAAATTATTAGGAGCAGGGATCTTTATATGAGTCGTAGTGTCCAGACTGGTTTTGGGGCATACGCGGTCTCTACTGGTCCATCTTTCACCAAATTAAAATGGCGGGAGCGTGAAATTGGCTATTCGCTTCTACCTAGTGTTTAAGAAGGAACTGTAAATCCATTCATCCACAACTCTTCACGGCGTGACATTTAAGCATGCAGGAAATAGGCCTGTGTTACTGCTTCTAAAAGCCTGTAGCAATGTGCATGCGAATACAGTGTTAAACTGTGTTACTTAACGCGTTATCCCAAGTTCCAACTCTCTGATTTTTCTTTCAGGCCGTAGGAATTGCTGTGGAGTTCTGCAGCCATATCGTGCATGCTTTCACTCTGTCCACTGAAAAGACCAGAGTCCTCAGAGCAACAGACGTGCTCATCAACACGGGAAGTTCGGTAAGTCTTCGTTTTTGATACAGGGAGAGCTCGGGCATCATGTATGGCGCACTGTTTTACCGGCAGAAATAATTATCATGTATCAATTTCGCATCTGCCGTGTCTTTAGCTACCACGGATATTACTCTATGAACTACTGCGACTAAGGAAAAAACTGTGAAACTATTTATGTAGTATACTGGACGTAAAATATCTGCGAACATAAGATACAGCAAGAGGGGTGGAAATATTGAAAAGAGCAAGGGGAGATAAAGGCGCCTTGTAGACAATCGCTTCCCTTCTTGACTGCCCACCCACCAACTTGTACTAGTAAAGGTCAACGAAGCTCGGAGATGTTTTGCGACAAGTATACAACCCAGACCGAAGATTTACCAATTGCAAGGCTATTAAGGCTTTGACCGGGATGTTCTTTTGTTAAATCTTATGTGGTACCGCCTGATTCGACTTCTAATGGTTAAGTGAAGTGTTTTCTTCGCGGTACGGTCTGGAATCGTAAATATTATGAAGACGAGCTTCGGCTTCAAAGGGTTAACCAGCTGATTTTCGTAATGGTGAGGTGAAGTGTTTTCTTCGCGGTACGGACTGAATTCATAAATAATATTCAGACGATCTTCGGCTTCAAAGGGTTAATATACGAATACGATGTTATGTTTTGTCATAGGTTCTGTCTGGGATCACGATGACCAAATTCGCAGGAATTGTGGTTCTGGCGTTCGCCAAGTCTCAGATATTCCAGATCTTTTACTTCAGGATGTATCTGGGTATCGTGCTTATTGGAGCGGCTCACGGCCTTGTGCTCCTCCCTGTCGTACTCAGCTTTATCGGTAAGGAGAAATGAATCGAAAGAAATGACCAAATAGGACAGAACTGACCTGTCATCATAGACGGTGTCCGTCGACGACAAAGGCAACACTCAGACTATAAGATCTGGTTATGAGCCCCAGAGAGAGGGCTCGAAACCAACATGGACTGACTCTGTATGATTTGAGATTCTCACAGCGGTGAGTATGAAGATTTCTGTCTTCTGGGTTCTTGCGCTGTGTAGTCTGGTCGATGTTTACCAAAGTTTCAGAGGTCATACTGCCTCCGTCATCAGGGCGATTTAATCGCAACCCAGAAGACAGAAATCTTCATGGACTGACTGACTTGCCTTCGGTGACAACGTGACTTAGACTCGAACTTGAAATCCAAACAACAAAAATAATTTCCTTGATATTTTAAAATCATTATTTCACATTTAATCCTAGGGTTTCCTGTGTCTAACTAGACTCAAATTTCCTGAAACTGAATCGTATCAATGATGATGACTGTCTTTTGGGTAGTATCACCGTGCAGCGCGATCGTCCTCATAATACATCAAGAACTTCTGAAACGTTGGTAAACGTCTATCAGACTACATGGTGTTACAACCCAGAAGACAACCATCATCGTACTCACCACCGCGAGATCTTCAAATACTACTGAAGTGTTTCAGTGTTTTCAGATGTAATAGTTTTATTCCTAAGTTGAATTATAACTCTTCCTGGGACGTCGTGGGTTATGGTGCCTCTTTGACGTGACTGATCAAAAATTTTCTCTTATTTGTAGGTCCTCTTCGAAATTTACAACCAGATAATTCTCCAAGAAAAACTGAATCAGAAGAAAGTACGAGCGGATCAGACTCGTCACCCCTTGCGCCAGCTCAAGACTATGAATTGGATGTTAAACTGATCACATAATAACATTATAAAGCATTGGAATTACACAGTCGACATTTCGTCTGCTCCACAGTACTTGCAGCTAAGAAGGCGTTTGAAGAAAACTTGAAAGAGAATTGCGAACTTAAGATATGAATTATTTATCGGAGAAAACTAACGGCTCTATAATTTTGGAAACTCTCAAATTGTATTCGTTCGTGGACTCAACCGCATCAGAACTGGAGTTGTAGCCGTACGACATAAGTTGTGCCTTAAGAAAATCTTTTTGTCGTATTATTTTTATACGAGATCAGCTTGTGACTCGACATCGATCTATAATATGTCGATTATGACCAGTTGTGTTTCCCGGACATCTGCGACATTCTGTACACGGTTTAATTCTAATTTAGTTTTACGCGTAACATATTTGTATCTTGCACACGGTTTAAAAATATAATTTACATATAAGTCACCGTGAAGCAGGCTCGTAAAGAGCTAACTTTATAGACAATTTCCCTTGTATTTTAATTTACTAGGGGTTCAGAAAGCTGCCTGCTCGTTTCCCTCCACTCGTTCTGTGTGCCCGTCATATTGACCAAGTTCAAATATGGACGATGCATCCGACGTTCCTGTAGCACATTCTATTTGAGTTGATTACGGATGGACAAAATTGATCTATTTTAACATTATTTCCAACCTATACCTACTTCCTATAGAATTAATGAATTAATTAGTTCTTTATGGCGAGGAAGTTTCTAAGATCCTACATAACCACCGAACTGGAGGACCACACCTCATCGGCTGTTCGCGACTGTTTATTTTATGTTTACAGCCCACCTACCACCTCTGAAGGTCTGATACATTAGGCCACGGTGACAAGATACCAACTTTCCTCGGGCTTTATTAATTTACAAATTAGAACGTAATTTGACTAAATAAAGTTACTTAAAATTCTCTGCAGACTAGTCCATTTAATTCGTTTTATTTACTATCCGTATACACATAAACTACGAGTCTTCATTAGCATGGAATTGTTGCTGTGACCTGTTTTAAACCAAAGCCGCACCTTCATTTGAATACGATCGTATCTGACATTGGGGTCGAATACGTGATTCACAACAGCATCCTATTTAATTACACTGATGCATTAATGTATATTCATTCGCTGTAGTTTTTACAAAATCATGGAATATAGAATCTATTGAGACAGAAATAACATGCATTACAATGTCGTCAGTTCACACCGAAATGATAGCAATATCGATTTCAAAACTATCGCTCTGTGAAAGATGATACGTGTTAAAAGTTACTTCGGAGCGATAGATATCGCTTATCGATATGGAGGAGGTGGGATTCATTGTAATGACTTACCGCATCATTCCATGAATCATCTTGTGCAACGCGTCACAGCAGATAGCAACAAGATTAAGAACGAGCAGAGAAATGCGAAGTCTGTGAACATTACAGAATATAAAGCACGTAATAATCATTTCATCCAGACATTTTTACAAACCAGTAAATTTGGTGTGAACGTACAGGCGATGTGATATCTCGCGTTATCACGTGTTACCAATTACAGGTTGGTAGTTTCATGGAGTAAAAGCTGTGTATCATTTAGTCATTCGACGTGTCTGTCTGAGCTACTGACATCATCGTTAAATAAACTTGTATGCGTTTCAGGCAGACGACATGTAAGCCTTTGGTACGGACATTGCAAAGCAGGTTGTCTATAAGGATGAACCCCCCGCTGTAAACTGCGGGACAAATTGTACACATGCTCCAGTTACGTCTGTCAGCCATCCGACTAGCTCAAGGACGCAGGGCGCACCTGAAAGTGGGTCACATGGCGCCAGTCACAGGAACCAGAGATTTCACTCTCATACGCACGGCGACCGAGTCATGGTGTCGCTTGGTGGTGATGGAATATCCCTCACCACCGCGAGATCTTCAAATACTACTGAAGTGTTTCAGTGTTTTCAGATGTAATAGTTTTATTCCTAAGTTGAATTATAACTCTTCCTGGGACGTCGTGGGTTATGGTGCCTCTTTGACGTGACTGATCAAAAATTTTCTCTTATTTGTAGGTCCTCTTCGAAATTTACAACCAGATAATTCTCCAAGAAAAACTGAATCAGAAGAAAGTACGAGCGGATCAGACTCGTCACCCCTTGCGCCAGCTCAAGACTATGAATTGGATGTTAAACTGATCACATAATAACATTATAAAGCATTGGAATTACACAGTCGACATTTCGTCTGCTCCACAGTACTTGCAGCTAAGAAGGCGTTTGAAGAAAACTTGAAAGAGAATTGCGAACTTAAGATATGAATTATTTATCGGAGAAAACTAACGGCTCTATAATTTTGGAAACTCTCAAATTGTATTCGTTCGTGGACTCAACCGCATCAGAACTGGAGTTGTAGCCGTACGACATAAGTTGTGCCTTAAGAAAATCTTTTTGTCGTATTATTTTTATACGAGATCAGCTTGTGACTCGACATCGATCTATAATATGTCGATTATGACCAGTTGTGTTTCCCGGACATCTGCGACATTCTGTACACGGTTTAATTCTAATTTAGTTTTACGCGTAACATATTTGTATCTTGCACACGGTTTAAAAATATAATTTACATATAAGTCACCGTGAAGCAGGCTCGTAAAGAGCTAACTTTATAGACAATTTCCCTTGTATTTTAATTTACTAGGGGTTCAGAAAGCTGCCTGCTCGTTTCCCTCCACTCGTTCTGTGTGCCCGTCATATTGACCAAGTTCAAATATGGACGATGCATCCGACGTTCCTGTAGCACATTCTATTTGAGTTGATTACGGATGGACAAAATTGATCTATTTTAACATTATTTCCAACCTATACCTACTTCCTATAGAATTAATGAAAGTCTGAGACTCCGTGTGGCATTGTACACGATGGTAGTTCTTTATGGCGAGGAAGTTTCTAAGATCCTACATAACCACCGAACTGGAGGACCACACCTCATCGGCTGTTCGCGACTGTTTATTTTATGTTTACAGCCCACCTACCACCTCTGAAGGTCTGATACATTAGGCCACGGTGACACGATACCAACTTTCCTCGGGCTTTATTAATTTACAAATTAGAACGTAATTTGACTAAATAAAGTTACTTAAAATTCTCTGCAGACTAGTCCATTTAATTCGTTTTATTTACTATCCGTATACACATAAACTACGAGTCTTCATTAGCATGGAATTGTTGCTGTGACCTGTTTTAAACCAAAGCCGCACCTTCATTTGAATACGATCGTATCTGACATTGGGGTCGAATACGTGATTCACAACAGCATCCTATTTAATTACACTGATGCATTAATGTATATTCATTCGCTGTAGTTTTTACAAAATCATGGAATATAGAATCTATTGAGACAGAAATAACATGCATTACAATGTCGTCAGTTCACACCGAAATGATAGCAATATCGATTTCAAAACTATCGCTCTGTGAAAGATGATACGTGTTAAAAGTTACTTCGGAGCGATAGATATCGCTTATCGATATGGAGGAGGTGGGATTCATTGTAATGACTTACCGCATCATTCCATGAATCATCTTGTGCAACGCGTCACAGCAGATAGCAACAAGATTAAGAACGAGCAGAGAAATGCGAAGTCTGTGAACATTACAGAATATAAAGCACGTAATAATCATTTCATCCAGACATTTTTACAAACCAGTAAATTTGGTGTGAACGTACAGGCGATGTGATATCTCGCGTTATCACGTGTTACCAATTACAGGTTGGTAGTTTCATGGAGTAAAAGCTGTGTATCATTTAGTCATTCGACGTGTCTGTCTGAGCTACTGACATCATCGTTAAATAAACTTGTATGCGTTTCAGGCAGACGACATGTAAGCCTTTGGTACGGACATTGCAAAGCAGGTTGTCTATAAGGATGAACCCCCCGCTGTAAACTGCGGGACAAATTGTACACATGCTCCAGTTACGTCTGTCAGCCATCCGACTAGCTCAAGGACGCAGGGCGCACCTGAAAGTGGGTCACATGGCGCCAGTCACAGGAACCAGAGATTTCACTCTCATACGCACGGCGACCGAGTCATGGTGTCGCTTGGTGGTGATGGAATATCCGACCCAAGTTCTTTAGGGTAGATTGTCTGTGTGGCAAAATTTCGAACACGTCGTCCATTAAATATTGACCCGGTGGTGGACTATCCTGACAGTGGCTTCCCGATTGTACCCAGCCCCTCCTGGTAAAGACCTATTTAAATAACGAAATACATGGAACGGAGCCCTCCTTGAGAATCAAAAAGTCGATCGGCCAGTTAAATTCTCGCCTTTTGTAGAACGCAAAGGTTCATTACCGTGTTCATAACTCAATCTCTGGCTCCGGTCCTAAGCCAGAAAAACCCAGTCCACACCCTCAGTATCATAGGCTAGAGCTTCTCAACCTTTCTGGTACCGCCAACCCCCTCCTCAAAAATTTACCATACATTTCGATTAAATACAATATCGACTGACTAAAATATAGATCGAAGTTACAGTTGAAATTTCAGGTTCTCACAGCGGCGAGTATGAAGATGGCTGTCTTCTTGGACGTTGCGTCGTGTCTGGTAGAACTTTACCGACGTTTTAGACGTGCTGCTGCTAAAGGCAGTAAGAACCTCTGACGTCGATGAACTTCTACCAGGTTACATGACTCACCAACCCCAAAAGACAGCCATCTTTAAAAGGAGTGTATTAATTTTTCGTCGTGGAAGAAAACGTGTGTTTAAAAAGCTTAGAACTTTCAGCAACACAAGATTCAAAAATTGTAGAATCTGCTCAATTCGTGGATATGGCGGACCCCCGGTTTGGAACTACTGCCTTAAAATATTCCATCTGCCTCTATTCCATTCCACATCCTTTCCAGTGCATCATGTACAGGTTAGACACTTTTTACCTCCGTTGTTCAACAAAGCACAACGCTATCAATCAAACTTACACAACTTGAGGCAACATGGCAGCTGGATTGCTGTGAGTAAGTGATAATGCATGTGCACAGTGACTGCACAGCAGTGCAAGAGTGTGTCAAGGTCGGAAAACGCGCTAAATGCATGCAGATCATTATCCAGTTTCCTTCAAAATAAATATGGACGCAAAGACAGAAATGCGACACCATTGTCAGTGTTGCCAAACACATAATGGTAAAAACCATTTGTTTTTAAATAACAAGGCCACACTCTCAGTTGTCTGGATTTTAGAACACGGAGAATTTTTAAGCGTTACCTGAACAACTGCGTAAATGAATACATAATGTGAAGGTAAAGGTTGTCATCCGTGTTTTATCTGCTAAGAGTGATATATTTTGCAACAATAAATTCATATTGAAAGAAATTAAGATTGTGGGTAATGTTGTATACGGAATTGCCAAAGAAAGAGCATTAGGCATGCTCCTGTACACCAAAGTGAAGTACATCTTTTTTTCCCCTCTACGTCATATGGCTCTGCATATCGGGTGGATTATTCTCACAGCTTTTAATGTATACTTTTTGTGAAATTTTTTAAGTTTTCTCGGCGGTGATGATGGCGATGTTCTTCTGGGTTTTGGCGCCGTGTGGAGTTTTAGGTACATAGACGGCAACGTTTTAGGAGAAAACATTGTATCTTCGTCTTCAGCTCCGAAGACAGACAAAAGTTTCTCAGAAACGTTCTCATCCACCAGAGAATGAAGACGCCCTCGAAACCCAGAAAAAAACATCAAGTAGCCCTTCTTCACGGAGAACATTAATGTAACTTACATGGCCTTGTAATCCTGGGGTCTCGGGTTCGATTCCCGGCGGTGCCCGAATTTATAACTTGTGTTGGGCAAGGCCGTGGTCTAGGCAACACGGAGTTTTCCTCCGTGGCATCCCAACAATTACTCCATTCACACTCACACAGAAGAAGGCAATGGCAAACCACTTCTGGATCATCTGCCAAGAACGTATATGAACAGGTCCCAGTCCGAGAAGAGGATGGAAGGATCCTGTTCATATGGGCCTGTCGTCAGACAGAACACTAAATAATAAAATACATGTTTATTGAACCGTATTATATCGATTGACGTTTACATACAGCGCCCGTCAAAAGCTACGTCGCAACAGCAGTTACACGAAAGAATAATGCTAATTTATATAGCACGTTCGGAATGGAATGGCGTCTCGGAGAAACAACGCGCCCTGGCGTCCGCTCATCCCAGGTTCAAGCGTCTTGTTCCAAATCAGCGATACATTTACCCAAGATACACTAGGGCGCACGCTGAGGCACTATCGAAGATCAAACCGAGATAATCGACTCAACATAACAGAAATCACACTGTCATTTGTAAGTTACAATTTGGTTTATTTTTCTGCTTTACTGCATTACATAAATATTTACAATTGCAGCACTGTAATTATTTAAGGCGAATGTATTCTGGGCGATCGTCTCAATTTTGAGGGCAGAAAGCACCTCTAAAACGTCGGTAAACTTCTAACAGAATAGATGGCGTAACAATTCGCAAGACAGTCATCTTCGTACTCACAGATGTGAGAACGTGAAATGTCACCATTATTCTGCATGGAAACCAAGTTTACAAAGGTCTACCTTTTACTCAGAGACTGATTCATACAAACAATAGTTGAAGGCTGAACATGATTTTGGATAAGAACCTCCCTCCAATTCACGTATTTAGTTCGTAAATGAATAAACTGCACTTCCTGTGTATGAGGGCCCCCTTGCACCTGCCAGGGACTGAAGGTGAGAGTAATGCATGTCAAGTTCACGTGCAACAAGGACACACGACGCATTGTTTCCTGGAACCCACTGACATTGACCTGGCCCAACGGAATGTGGGAACGAACTGTTTGTTACACGAGTCATGCGTAATTCCAGTGTTTCGAGCAGCAAAACAAATGGTTAATGTCGCAGACAAACATTTACAGCAATATCTGGTATCAACATGGCTGGGAGACACACACAGAGCTCAGCAGCTAAGACATGGGATTCAACCCCACATTCGGGATGAGTCACTGCTTGGAAGATCTGAGAGTAAAGGGGAGGATAATATTAAAACGTATCTTACGAAAATGGGGTATGGAAAGTGAATTGGATTGGTCTCTCTCAGACAAGGACGACGATTACTGAGTGTCTTCTGGTTTGTTAAGTCGTGCAGTCCGGACTAAACTACGCAGCATCCCAGACGACAGCCATCTCCACGGTAATACGTTTTCATTCAGACTACAAACAAGGCATCATAACCACGAAGACCACAATCAACAAATATGAAATGAGATTCAGAATGAAATTTTAAAATATACATTTCGAGAAATGCTTATAAAACCGCGTTATCATCTTTGGTATACAAGACACAGTAGCATATGATCTTGTCCATTTGAACACAGGCTTCTGTTTTGATCTTATTCATCTGGTCACGCAGTGGCGTCAATAAATTACCAGTTACAGCCTCAAGATGGTAACCGTCTGCTACTCTCTTGAACGGCCGCCCAGAAGTGGGTTCTGGACGTCTGATGTGTTTAATGCTAAAAGCATGATGTAACAATTCTTTGTTTATATTGTGCTAAAGTCTTTTCGACTAGTCCGATGCCGAGTTATAAAGTTCTTCGTTTTTATTCCCACGGAAGAATATAAATTAAAAACAAGATGCCCAGAAAAATTTTTGGCCCTCAGAGAAATCCAGTAAGAGGGCAACTGAACCGGTCATTTACAAAATCACGTGACTCCACTTTTTGAGAGAACTCAGCTACCACCACACGTAAATGGGTCACTTTCTACAAGAATGACACAAGCCTTCACTGCGTGTGGCAGTCTGATTTCCAGTCGAAACGACACCAGACCTAGACTCATGTTATTTTACGACTAGGTTTTGATCATAAACAAACCACTGAAACCCAGAATGACTTGAACGAGTCACCTCAGCAGCGACAGAAGACTTCATGTAATATTCCTTTGTATTACGTAGGCGCCTGTTCAAATTAACACGAGTCCATAATTAATTTAGCTTACAAAACGTAGATACACAAAGACATTAATGAACAATAAATTTACGCACTTGTCAGGAACCGTGACAATGGGATTAAAAGCACGTCGTTAAAGGATAAAAAATCAGAAGGAAAAATGTTACACGCCAAGAGCTTCTAGAGCTATGCTTGGAATTTGTCAGTATCTCATTTTCTCTAATTCTATGCCATGGACCCCCATGAGGCAATATAACACTCAGCACCTCTGTAGTAGATAAACGAACACCTGCTACTTTCATGACTGCTGGTACGAAGTTGCAAGTCTACGATTTATACATGACAGTACAGGGCGTAATGATGTACGGTGACATTGCGGCAACTGTCGAAAATCGCCGTGATATGTGGTAATAACTCCATAACGATAACAGGAATGGGCGACCTTCAGTTTGGCAGGGTCACACATAATTGCACATGTCCCCAATTTGAGCTCAGATATCATCCGGAGTCAGGATTTTCCGAGTCATCAAAGGTCAGAACTTATTATTCCGCACTAATTGGTAGAAAAAGATTGTGACCAGAAAGATATCAGTCCGCTCCGCTAGTTGCTATAGCAACGAGAACGCAATGTTTTAACAGGCACAGATGGCGGTAGGATAACCTTCCCTCTTAATACGTTTTATTAGAAAATACTATGAGTCATTTGCCACGAATACCTTAAAATTAACTCGTAATTTGGAGGTCACGCGTGGTAGCTTCATCACTGAGTTTACCAAAAGCATAAAGAATTTAAGCCTTAGCTACATTATGTTCAGGATCTTATTTTGAAGCTCGTTAAGAAACGCCCCACTTTGGAACACGAAAATTCATTACCATTTTATCAACAGCCCGGAATTCAACCCTATCCTGCGCCAGATAAACCCAGTCCACACTCTCATGATAGCTACTTTAATTCGTACGTCTCTTCTTCTAAGTTGAATCTGTCCCACGTTAGGTCACCTTGCACTTCTGTTTCGTCCCGTGCGTTCGAGGTCGCGGTTCATCGGGGAGGGGCGCGTGACCTCCCCTGCACCTGTTATAAAGTGCGACCTGAGAGCGTCGGTGCAGTGCGACATGGAGTTCCCGCTGCAGCTGTACCACTGTGTCCTGGTCATCCTCGCAGCGCGCTCTGCCGTTTGCGTCGAGAACTGTGAGTTGTATAACAACATCGACAATGCATTTCGCCGTAATCTGACACTATTTATATTACATGGAGCTGACCAACTTGGGAGAAATGCTATATATTGTTGGCCCGTGTTCCAATGCCACTTTGTCCACCACAAGTCCGCATGGACTGACTTGGGCGCGAACCCGGACCTCCGCGGTGAGAAACTGGCGAAAAACCGCCTCAACTACGACACGGCCAGGAATGTTATATATTACAAATTGCAGAAATTTATCTTCAAGATGAAAATACTTTAGTGCATGTCAGATATTAACGAACTGATTTTTGTGTGTTCTTTGTACGAAGTGAATGCATGAAGGGAAGGTACTGTCTGGATGTTTCATTTGGTTTACTGGGAGGAAACATTTTAGAAGCTGTGGGTAAATTTAATTTTCGTTTATGTCTGTCAAATATAAAAACCCTAGGTATTTTAGATGCATCGGAAATCCAGTTTCATCTACCCACCACCACAAACGCAGATTTCGTCAGCTTCCTCAAGTCCATGGAGAAGAGATCTTTCAGAGAAATTAATAAGTAGTCATTATCTAATCAAAAGTGTCCCCATTTTCATGGACACCGAAGGTTCATTACCGCGAACATTACTGTCTTCTGGAATATAGCGCCTCATTGCCTGGTGAGAAGTTCACCGACGAGTGAGCCGAGGGCGCGCCTTTCAGAAATGTTACCAAACCATTCAGGCCGATGTCCAAAAGTGACAATGACCCCTCTTATCACTGCGAGTCGTATTCGTGATGGATAAAAGTGAAACCAGCTCAAAAAGTCGACTTAGATAAGAATGTTTAATTTAATGAACCTGCGTTAATATGCCTGTTAAGGCAGAACATTTGAACACCTGCAGTGGTCTAGCGGTTAGAACGCTGGCCTTGTAATCCTGGGGTCTCGGGTTCGTTTCCCGGCGGTGCCCGAATTTATAACTTGTGTTGGGCAAGGCCGTGGTCTAGGCAGCACGGAGTTTTCCTCCGTGGCATCCCAACAATTACTCCATTCACACACAGAAGAAGGCAATGGCAAACCACTTCTGGATCATCTGCCAAGAACGTATATGAACAGGTCCCAATCCGAGAAAAGGATGGAAGGATCCTGTTCATACGGACCTGTCGTCAGACAGAACACTAAAAAAAAAAAATCTCGTAGTTATTCAACAAAATTCCCGCCTGTTATGCAACTATAATATCCATTATCGTATTCACTAGTGTCACCATCGGAGCATACAATAAGCCAGTTGGACGTAGCACATAGACCTTACTGCTCGTTTGAGGTCCGTTTTAATATAATAGACTTTCATGCATTTCTGTAGAACTTAGATAACTTGTCTTCGCGTGCTTCCCTGGGTTGATCCAATTCTGGGAACGACATAAGGTATTTAGTTCTGAATATGATAATTTTAATGTGAATTGTTAGTTGTGTAACTCTGTAAAATGACAAGAGATTACAATGCGTGCTACCAATATGACTTCAGTGGCGGATGTGCCGTGTGGCCGACAGTGGCGCCGCGAGGGGCGTATTGTTGGCGGGGAGCCTGCGGTGCCAGGGGAATTTCCGTGGCTGGTGTCAATCACGAGGAGGGGGGGCCACTTTTGTGGTGGCACAATAGTCAACAAGAGATGGGTGATAACTGCAGCACACTGCATGTGCAGGTAATACTGACAATTTCATTTTCCCCTAAAATAACGTAAACATAAGGTTCAATACCATGTTCAAAACAGCCTGCCAAAGGATCCCATCTCCAGCCATTTGAATCCAGTTGTTACACTTCGTATTTCTATAACTTCATTTCAATACTATCCTCTCACGTACGCCTAGGCCTTCAAACTTATCTATTGCTTTTATGGTATTCAATAAAAATTTTGTATGCATTTCTTATCTCTCCCATATGTGCTACAAAGCCAAGCCCTATTACATTTCTTGGTGTTTTTACCAAAATATTATCTGATGAACTTAAATTTACCCTCTGAAGTTGAAAGTGCTTTGGTTTTGTGACCACGTGTCTTGACTGACATTAAACGATTCCAGTGGTCCAGTTGAGCTGCCTGTGGAACACATTCGCGTTGTGGTAGGGGAACACGATCTGTCGAAAAGGGAGACCCCGCCCTCGCGAGAAATGGGAGTGCGCCGTCTGGTGTTGTACCCTGGTTATCAGTGCGAACGCTTCAATCACGACATTGCTCTACTGGAACTGGATGGCGAGGTGGGATGGTCCGAGACGGCGTGGCCGGCCTGTCTTCCTCAAGGTCTGTGCTTTTTACGAATTGCTGTTTCAGGTATTCTGTCTCACCTAAGAGCGATCCTGATGTAAACAAAAAGGAGGGGAAAATCACGCCGCCCCCCCACATGGCTGGAGGGAGATCTTGTAATATTTCTCCATATGATTAATTCTATGCATCCTGGACAAAACACACGTTCAGCTCACACAGAAAATTCCAGCAGGTACTGTGAAGTCATGTTCCAGTTCCTCTTTACAAATCACGTGATGAGGCTACAGGCGAATTTCCTAACACTCAGCTGCCGTCAGGATCATTCTATTCAATGATGGCTCCTGTCCTGAAGCATATGAATCCGGTCATACTATTCCTTTGAGATCCATTGTATGTCACCCTCCAGTCCATCCGCGTCGTCTTACTGACCAAACGTTTGTACTAATTTTTCATACCGTCCATGCTACATATTGCGCCCATCGCATCCTCCTTGATTTAATAGCTAAAATAAATTAACATTTTTAATACACGCAAAGCTAGGGACGATATTTTTACAGTCACAAGACAGATTACGTTTCAAAATGAGCAGAAATTTCATGCCTGAACCACTTTGTAGCTGGCGCCACGAGTTTCTCAGGCCGTGAAGCCACTGCAGCGGGGTGGGGATGGCTTCACGAGGCCTCGGCGCAGGGCGGACGCGCAGATGTCCTTCAGAAGGTCACACTTCGTGTCGTGGACAACGACACGTGTCGGAATTGGTACAAGTCAAAGGGCAAAAAGACGAAAGTCCTTGACTCGCAAATGTGCGCTGGCTACGAACAAGGAGGTCGTGACTCGTGTTGGGTGAGTAGTGAGCACCAAAATGGCGTCTAGAAAAGCTACGTTTATAAAACTACTGACATTGACTTCCTACCTGCGTATTGTCTTTACTGTGGCGTTACTTGATTCTGGTCCAAGTTTGTGGTGATAATTTGTTTGAAGCAAATATGAATACTATAAAACGAACTCCCTCAGGAGTCTGAAAGTACAGTAGTTGATACAGAGATAAACGCAGAGGAAACTAATGTTAATGTCTCGATAACAGAACAAACTAGGAAAAGGCTGTGATGAGAGGCAGCACATCCTTTAAAATGCGTCAAAGTTCAAATGTTAGAAGCAATAATAGATCAAAGTTGAGCACATACAAAATTTGCGGAACATTTTCCGTTACGACTCAAGTCGGAAAATTTCATCTTCTAGTCTCCTGTCTAAAAAACCAACAACTGAGACGTATATAACCGTGCTCTTGTGTGTTGTTTGCTATGGCTGTGAAATTAACTCGGTCCATGTGCTGACCTTGCTTTGGTATGTTTTGGCAGGCGGATAGCGGGGGCCCCCTCATGGTAAGGGACCCAGACCGTGTTACCATAGTGGGTGTCATATCCACTGGAATTGGCTGCGCGCAACCCAAACTGCCAGGTCTTTACACACGCTTGTCAAACTACTCCACGTGGATCAAGACGCACGTGCAGGCATCGTGACGTCATCTGAACATGTGGAGCTTGAGATATGACTGGAGCAAGGAAGAAATGGGCAAAGTGACTTGCATGTTTCAGATATGACGCAAGACTGTCGCGGTAAAAGAAAGGCATCGAGAGATGATTAATATGACAAGTGTTTCGAGAACGATTTCAAACAAAGTTTCATTGACGTTGAAGTACAGGTCGGTGAAAGTGATTCACTTGTGTCTTAGCCGCATTTGACGGACACGAGATAGATTCGCCTTTTTATGTGGCAGATCGCACTGCATCAGCTTCAAGACGTTTCTTTGTGTGGTGCTCCCTACAAATCACAGTTTGCAAGAAGACGGAACTCAAATTTGAAACTGAAAATTATGCTGTACGGTTTGTTCTTGAGTAAACTTTAATTCTTCGTTGAAAGACCCCACAGTTGCTACTGGTACACGAAACATTTACAGAGAATCTGAATGCACAAAGTCAACAAAACAATTTAGACTTGTCGTGTTGACAGCCTACCTTGTTGAATTAGTGTTTTATTGTTAAATGCTATTTAAATCTGGTGAAATAAAGACTGAACGAATGCATTTATGGTGGAATCTCCTGGCGTACGGTTTTAAACAAATCGTTAGTTAATGAAATCTTGCACCGATTTCATGACAATGGACGTATCAACCCTCCTGGAATAATAATAGTTGTAATTATGAAAGTTTCAAATAAAAGTTAAAAATTAATTAACTTTATGTTATTTTGTGCTCGAGTGAAACACTGGGGCTTCGAAGGCCTGCACTTCCAAGAATCGTCCACACAGATTGTGAACGGATCAAGAAAATGGGACCTGCTTCAGAAAAAGGAATGCTCAAGATAATTATTCTCTACAGTAAATATGTTGACTTGAAGAAGCAATATGAAAGAATCTCCCAGATAAAATTTCCGAAAAATATGTTTCACGTTTTAGACGCACTAGGCTGCATTATAACAAACCAGTGATGGCCACTCGGGATGCGTGTGAGTGAGTATAGTGGAGGACTCCGGCTACAAGTCGTTCGTAGTCTTACTGTTTTGCTGGCTGTTGTAAATTCACTCGTTTGTAATTTTAAGTTGTGTATCCTTTCATACATAGATATTTTCAGCAGTACATACATAAATGGACATATAGTACCGCCGCAAATAATTTAGCTATTTTTAGGTTATAATTTGCAGGGCGCAGTCAATTTTGATCGAAGGTTTGAAGTTAGTTGCGTAATTAATTTGTACTGCGTGATGTTTGGTTTCTTACCGTACATGTTGCCTTTCCGGACTGTCTTATGGAACACAGACATCACTTCCCGCCTGATGCCAGACTTCATTCACGATTTGTATCTTCAATAACCTCCATTCTCTACTTGCATACGCGTAACCCATAACATCACTGAAAAACTGTACACATATTCCTGACCGCCGGCAGCGCGCACAGCGACGAAACGTGAAATTATGACTTGTTATGGTTGCAGAGACGGAAGGGGAGTTGAGGGAGGGCCAACTGTTAAATCACGGATCAAATAAATTTCCCACGAGTTTGGTGATTACCGATTTGAACAGATGTCAGCACGAGATGATAATGTAAAACTTCATTCGACCCGAGGCTTACCTGCACGGTCGAAACTCGACTTATCTCGTTCTAACCCGGTTGAGTCCCAATGTAACCTACGGCCTTGTACGCCTGTCGTGACAATACGCACTGATATTTTATATGAATCAAGTACATAGGCCAATTTTCAAAATATACAGACACGTAAATCTCCGCAGTCTACAACTTATTTCTGAAGGAATTTGTGATGCGGTAATTTCGTAACTAATTACAACGGAAGAAACGTTCATTCCCAATGTTTGTCTACCTGTACTTTCTAGAGCTTATTTCTTTCACAAGAGTGCAGCACAAGCTGAAGCGGACAGAAACAAATGCAGACTTCGGAAATTTCGTATCTTGGTGAGTATCTATTATAAACATTAACATTTTGCCCTGCATTTAACTTACGTCCGTACATTTGTGAATGTATGCATCGCTAGCGTATTAATTACAACAAAGAAATGTTTGTAAACGATTTATTTATCGCTGTTACAGAGTTTAGATGATTCTTTTTACCATATGCAGTATTCTGCATCTGTAAATAAAAGAGATGAACTGCATTAATTACAGCTTGTAGCGTTTGGAAACTGCTATTGTTACTTTGACGACATTGAAATATGTTAGAACGTATCAAAGTGACCACTGAAATTAAGAAGCACGTACACGGCATGTGAATGTACGCATTTCTGTTTTTTACGTATCTTTCCTCATATGATTTGGAAGATAACCCACGTTTCATTCGAATATATTTTTAAGCACACTGTGGCAAACAGGCTACCTATAAATAGATGTGAAGTAGGTTTGGGGAAAATGAACGTCGAAGTTGTTACTTTCGACCCACGAAGTGACACAACGTAGGACACTAAGAGTTGAAACAAGAATACAGAGCTTCAAAGCAATATTTTAGAATTTTAACAATTAAGAAATAATTATGCTGTGTTAAAGCACTGGGATTTTGCTAATCATATTTAAATTAGCAGAACTACTCTGCGGCCGCAGTAAAACGTCCCATGGAAGGTGGTGACGGCGGCGGACGAAACGTCTCTCTCTCTCTGCCTACTGTAGTATTCCATGAAGATTTCCTCTGGACCACAAGTCTCATTCCAAGTTGCTTGTACTTAACTGGGTGGACATGAAACACGAATTCCCCACAGCGCTCTCTACAAGGCTGTGCCCCTAAAGTACTTGACAGGGGAGGACACACGGCAAAGAAAACGTCTCATTTAACTTAGTTACGTGTACCTCATGGCGATAATTTGGACTTACCAGGAGTGACGGAAATTATCCAACCTATATAAGGATTCACGCGTGTGTTGACACCGGGGAAATCGGTGGCACAGCCTCTTCCATAGCTGATGATACCGACGAGCTGCAGACGGTTCTCTGGTCCCATCCACAGAACTGGTCCACCCGAGTCGGCCTGATGACGGAAGAACACGTCGGTATCAAAGCATGAACTGAACATCCGTTCACATATCTTACAAACAAGCAGATGCTTAAAAACATTTAAATAAATAATTAATGAACAGTTAAAACAATTAAATAAGCTCAAAATAATATTATATAGCTATTCGTACAAATTTGCATATTTATAATGATTTTATTTTCAATTATTATTGTTGTTTCATTATGGTTGGTATTTTTTTTTTTTGATTAAAGTAATGGATATAAATTCTACTCGTTACGCTTATGGTGGAGAGAGGGCAGTTGCCTCAAATCCTTGTTCTAAAATCGAATGCTTCATTAGTCATTCCAGTTTTAACTCATAAACACAAGAGGCATGATGCATTTCCAATACAGTGTGTTCACTGATAAAGTTGGATGCATCCGTTTACAGTCGACTTCATTCTTCATATGGAACGATAATTGACTGACTTCGGGAAAATCTTGTAGCGCTTAGCGGTGAGTCACGAAGTTCCAGCCTGGATCCGGGAAGTGTCTGGTGTGTTAAACTTTATTAATGCAAGCACTGTTTTACAAAGCACTAAAATAAATTCTATTTTCCATACACAAATCAGCTTCTCTGATCTTGTGAAATTTAGAACAAGAACTTTTATCGAAACGCTTCTCAAAAAAAGAAGAAGAAGAAGAAGAAGACTGTGTTGCATAGAGTTCGTTAGTTTGTTAGTAATATGAATTACCTGACAGGCATCTGTGCCGTTTCTGAATGTGCAGAGCTGATTGACCAAGGACACTTTGCTGCCAAATACCTCTCTACATGTATTGATGCTAATTACATCCAATTGTGTTTCCAACAGCCGATCTGATTTCTCTCCCGCATGCTCTATTGTTCCCCAACCTAATAAACACGACAAAATAAATTATTGAAACGTAATATCGTTAATATTTTAGTTGTCATATTTATAATTTTCGTCCTGATGCAGGAACCTGTTAAAACTTCAAGGCTATTCGCAATTAGGTCATGATTGAAAGAAGGTATTCAGGGGTTGTTGCGACGTTGTAGTCTGGTAGAAGTTTATCCATGTTGAAATTTACTTCCTGCCTCCATCATCAGGGTGATGTGTCGTTGATAAACTACCAGACTACACGGCGCAACAACCCAGAAGACAGAAATCTTCATACTCTGATGACGGAGGCAGTATGACCTCTGAAACGTTGGTAAACATCGACCAGACTACACAGCGCAACACCCCAGAAGACAGAAATCTTCATACTCTGATGACGGAGGCAGTATGACCTCTGAAACGTTGGTAAACATCGACCAGACTACACAGCGCAACACCCCAGAAGACAGAAATCTTCATACTCTGATGACGGAGGCAGTATGACCTCTGAAACGTTGGTAAACATCGACCAGACTACACAGCGCAACACCCCAGAAGACAGAAATCTTCATACTCTGATGACGGAGGCAGTATGACCTCTGAAACGTTGGTAAACATCGACCAGACTACACAGCGCAACACCCCAGAAGACAGAAATCTTCATACTCTGATGACGGAGGCAGTATGACCTCTGAAACGTTGGTAAACATCGACCAGACTACACAGCGCAACACCCCAGAAGACAGAAATCTTCATACTCTGATGACGGAGGCAGTATGACCTCTGAAACGTTGGTAAACATCGACCAGACTACACAGCGCAACACCCCAGAAGACAGAAATCTTCATACTCTGATGACGGAGGCAGTATGACCTCTGAAACGTTGGTAAACATCGACCAGACTACACAGCGCAACAACCCAGAAGACAGAAATCTTCAGACTCGCCGCTGTGAAAATCTCAAATCATACAAAATATTTTAATGCTTTCAAATTGAAAAACGTTACTTGCCCAAGACATCAACGACTGTTCCTGCATTCGTCGCGGGGTATAAGTAGGGAAGGCAGGCGGGTCCCACCTCCGGGCCGAACAGGATGTCCTGTGCCACGCGTATGACGGCGATGTCGTTAGCTTGCGTTACCGAGTCGTAAAGCGGATGCGACCGAAAGCTCTCCGTATTTAGCAACCTGGTCGAGTTCGTCTCATTACCTGCAACAATTGCGTTTATGCACAGTGCGTCCTAAACACGTCAGTAGTTACTATGGCTGTCTTACCTAACACCTCCGTGGTAAAGGGAGTCCTGAAAGCGAACAGAAGTTCAGCACAGTGTTAAATTAAACTCGGAAATGGACAATATCCAAAGCCACTTCAGTCCTGCTGATTCTTTCAAAATCTATTTATTGCAAACACAATTTTGAATTATACTCCCGTCAATGCTTAAGTATTTTTAGTAATCTCGTTCCTTCAGGTTTTCTGATCAACATTTTGTAAAAATTTATAATTTCATCCTTATCAACATATTCTTCCTGCTATTTTAGATAAAATACATATTATGAAGCTTCTCATTATGTAATTTTCTCTACGTTCCTTATACCTTCATATTCTTAGGTCCAAATTCAAATTCGGTTTTAGTTGAGGGAACAAATACGTTCGTGGGCTTATTTATATGGGAAGAAAAATATACTGAATTGAATCTGGAGATAGCCATAAACTACAAATGCTATCTTTCATGCAATGGAAGTCATCCCCCGTTAAATGTCAATCATTACAAGAGTTAACTAAACTCGTACAACTGTACTCCCATGTCGCGGATGTCCACTAGAAAAAAAAATATATGTATAAAGGCGTGAGGTGGATTTATTTGGTTCAGGATAGTGATCAATGGCGGACTCTTGTGAACACAATAATGAACCTTCGAATTTCATAAAACGTGGTGAATTTGTAGATTAACTTAGCGACTGTTAGCTTCTCAAGAAGGACTCTGCTCCATGAAGTCAGTAGTTGTGTAAATCGGCTGGCTACAGAGTCGATATCCCTACGTACCAATTGATATATCGTGGTCTCCTATCAGGACGCCAGTATATTCCGTCGGGCGATTCACCAGACAGTGACTGGCGGTGAGGCAGTACCGGGTGGCGATCACCGTGGCTCCACAGAATACGTCTTTCAGTCGAAAGTCAACCAGACCGGCCATCATAGGATACTCGTTCACACCAGTCTCATGTCCGTTCACAATTCGATACTGCAGAGGGAAGTGTAATTATTTTTATGATTATTGTTTCTGTTGAATAATGAGGGTTAAGGGTGTTTCAGAATAGAGTGCTGAGAATCAAAAAGGAATAAAGTGACAGAAAGATGAAGAACATTGCAGTCCACGGCGATTCGTAATTTGAGTCTATCAGCTACAATTACTAGGGTGATCAAATAGAGGAGTGTTTAATGTCAGGTCATGGACCAAGCATTGGGGATATAAGACATTTTAATTAGAGAGCAGGAAGGAAACGAACCACGGCCATCTGAGTGATTATTATCTTCTCAACAATGTATTTTCTTCATGGTGTTTATTTGTTTACTGTAAGTCTTACCACTACTCGCTGATCTTGATGTTTATTTATTTAGAACATGGCTATCTACATTCCACTTTCTTCCGCCTTATCCACCTGTGCTGAACTCTTGTGGCACAAATAAGTGCTAAAAATTCGTATCATTGAGAAATTTGTATCTTCTGTTGATAAAATAAACTAGTGATAGAGGAACGAGTTGGTTCGTATATTATTTTCTTGAATACAACCATTTCCCTGCCCCCTCCATCTTCTCTTCTCATCTTTCTGTGATGTAGCTGAATCTCAGATATATCTGCGTCCACTGTACATTTCTCTTACGCTGTTAATTGCAGAATCTCTGTATTATGGGTTCTTAAGTAATTGAGACTCAAATAAAACGTTATCTTTGGAACATAAACATAAGTACAGAAGCTCTTTCTGAAACTAATTAAACAAAAACACATAGTAAGTAAATTAATATATTCATACGCTTTTACTTCAACAAATATCTGATTCAAATAGCATTCAAAAACGTTTCATCAATTCTGCCTGCAGCTTATTGTATCGGCTCCTTCCCATACAGCAAGGTCGGAGAAGTTGCCGCATCTCAAGGGGATATAAAGTAATCTCAAAAACTAAGTGAATTGGAATTAACAGTAACCATTGTACTGTACCACCTGTCATAACATTGCATAACTTCGTGTTTTAACACAGACTGTGTTTGTGGGTTTCGAATTACATTTGGAACAAACGGTGAATATTTTTAAACACATTTTTTCTTTGTAATGGAAATACTGAAGTTTAAATGTTGAGCAGGATGCGAGGTTCTTACGGTGGTGAATGTGAAGATGGCTGTCTTCTGGGTTGTAACTCCTCGTAGTCTGATAAACGCTAACCGACGTTTCAGAAGTACTTGCTGCTTCTACCATCAAGGCTATGGGCAACGCGCTTACTTATCACCCTGATAACAGACACAGAAAGTAGCTCTGAAACGTCGTTAACTATCAGACTACACCGCGCTAAAATCCAGAAGACAGCCATATTAAAAGATTAAATGTTGTTTGGATGAGCTTTGTTCTTCAGAGAGATAAATGGATAATATTAAAAGAATATAAACAGTGATAAATCTTGCTGGAAGGTTCTGGGGCGGAATGATGTTGGTCCGTACCAACCTCTTTCTTCAATCCGCAGGTGCAGTTTTGCCGTCGAGGTAGTGAGGTAGTGGTGACAGTACACAGGAATTTGCCTCCGCTGCTGAAACGCGAAACATGAAGAGCCACCACGATGCGATTGCCAACTGTCTCCACTGAGAAAGTTCCTGCTCCACAGTATACATGAGCGTCGCTGAGGTTTGCTCTTCCTCTTGGAGACACACTGAATCGGTCTTCCACACATTTGTCGCTCTGCGGCAAAAGACAAAACAGCAGTCAATAAATTAAGTGCATTTTTGACGATGGTGTGAAATTATAAACATGATTATTATTTTGGAATCTTTGGAAATAGATTCATGTTTCGAGACGCCATGTTTGAAAATACCTACAACGTAGAAAGAGTAAGTAAACAAATTATTCAAACGCTACAGTCCGATTCCAGCGTTCAATTTCTAAATTTTATAAAATATAAAACAAAACAGAAAATTCCTCGGGTGAGGATCAAAAGTCGCTATCGAGTGGTTATGGAGGTACCGTGTTCAAATTTCGACCTGGAGATCGGCTTATAACTTAGTGTTTTTGTGGTTTACATCAGTAACTCTTAAAGAAATTCCATGATATCATATTAAATTAGGCCACGACCCGATCAGTCCACGGAATATAATTCGAGCTAGTGATAGCATCGTAAAATAAACTCTTAGTAAACAAAAAAGTAAAATTCTCAAGTGAGAAACAAATACATCCGGTGTCTTCAGAGGAAAACACGAAAAATAAACGTCCGCCCATCCATGCCTTCGTAGAAAATCATATCAAGGTACTAAATATATACAGAACCTAAATCACGTACGTCTTAAAGTGAGAGTCTATAAAATCGTCCCTCAATAAAATTTGCTTCTTTAATTGGAGCAGTTGGTACTCTTTGTTGTATTTAAAATGTCTCGATGTCTGAACAGTTGAATAGTCAGTAAAGTAAGGCGTACTTAATTCGTATTGTCCTGTAGATAAACAGTTGTCGAGTTACCTTCTAATCTGTACCATTACAAAGAAACAGCTGTTACCCTCAACACGTAAACCAACACTTAGCTTATGCAATTCAAATTATCACATGATATAATGGAGAACTGAAGGTAATTTCCGGTTAAGCTACTGAAAACGTATTTGTCCGTCAGGAATTTTAGAACTTACGTAAGTACATGGAGATAAGATAAGAGGCTTGACAAACAACCTAATTCTGTAAAAAAATTAAAATGTGTACTCTTTGGAGTACACTGGCATTACAAACGTGTTCTTCACGCCACATAACGTAGGTCACTGTTGCAGTAATGTGATCCAGGTTAATGTCAGGTACTTTTTAATAATCTTGCTGGAAGATTTATCTTTCAAACCTTGTTTCTTGACCAAGGACCAATCACTGGCCACCAATGGACAAGATTTATCAGTGTTACTATTCATTACACATCCGCACAACCATCTTCCCTAAGATCTATTTTAATATTATCCTCATTTCTTGTCTCCCAAGGGATCACTTCCCAAAAGGCTTCCACCCCCCCCCCCTATTTCTTGTCTATCATCCAAACTACATGTTTTTCCCGTTTTTATCTTATACTTTTCAGTATCGTATATTTTTATGAGATTTGAAGTTCTCACGGCGGTGAAGAATTCATTGTTCTTCTGGCTTATGAACTGTCCTAAATTGTCCACTTGGTCTTACTTTGTCACTATCGGGAACAAATATTTTCCACAGCTTGCTGTTAACAGACACTTGTAACTTAATTTATGTTCTTCCTTCAAAGTAAAAGACCAAGCTTTATATCTATCAACACAATGCCATTGACTTACTCCATGGAGCCGAGTTCTTCCTGAGAAGAAAACGACCGCTCAGCCACTCAAGAAATTCCCAATATTTTATAGAACCTGAAGGTCAATCGCCGTGTTCACAAGAGCCCACCACTGGCCCCTATCCCGAGCCAGATTAATCCATACCACCCCATCCGATTTCACCATGATCCATTTTAATATATCCTCCCACCTATGACCAGTTCTTCCTAGTGGTTACCTTCGTTTTGTTTTGCCTAACAAAACCCTGTATAAATTCCTTGTCTCTTCCATGCGGACTACGTGTCATGCCCATCCCATCCTCCTTGATTTGGCCAGTCTAATTATATTTGGCTTGTGAAGCTCCTTTATTATGCGACTTTCTCCAGCGTCCTAGTAATTAATCCCTTTTAGATCCAAATATTCTCCTCAGTACCCTGTTCTCAAACAGCCTTAGTCTACGTTCTTCCCTTAGTTTAAAAGACACCGTTTCCGAAACTACAGGTAAAATTATACTTTTATGTACTACAATCTTTACGTTTACAAACAGCAGACGAAAATTAAAACAAAGGTTCTCAACTCAATGACAGCAAGCATTACCCGAATTTAATGTACCAACACAATAGATAGAATAATACATAAAACTTTCACGTTCAGTTTATTTGACATAAAAGCATTTCCATAATTTATTTTGTCCCTGATTTTATAATGAAAATATTCTGTGAAATAGTAAGGATATTTGATAAGCATATTTGAGGAACATGTAGACGTTTTCAGAAAAAAAACCCGGTTGAAACTAAAAATGGGCCAATTTAAACTTAATGGTGTGAATATAAACCGCATTTCACTCACCCTAGGTATGGAGATACTGCAGTCGAGGATTAAGTTATATGTGGAAGGTGCAATGGCCTCCCACCTGCAGTCGATGCCAGTGGGGTAGCTAAGAGGGTAATTCGGAGAGTAAACTTGGTACTTCCGTCCAACCGCCACGTCCTGGTAATAGTCGCAATTGTTTGAAGTTGTGTCTGCGTCCGCTAGTAGCGCTGTGCCACACAGAATGAGGAACGACGACAACCGCATCCTTACAGATTTCCAAAAATATTTCAGTTATCACTCTGTTTATATCCCTGCAGCAGCAACGTAGAATTGCGCTTAACAAAATGGGAGCCCCTCCCCCACCCAAGGGTGTGTGGAAATTGTGTCGGAGGGAGGAAATGATCCAATTGTAACACATATAAGAAAACTGCCACATTAAATTAAGAACACAATGTGTTACTTCAATGGTACCGTTAAAGTTTATTAATATTCACTAAACAGGTAAATCACATTCTCAGTTAATTTTATAAGTTCGGGAGCGCCTCTTCACATTTATATAAATATACAGAAAACCTAGGGATAAAAGTTTGGGAGAAAACTGCCCTAGACCATCATCCATTAATATTGAAACTTTCTGGTATATTTTAATATTATTCCTTGCGTTTATAAGGCATTTGAGGGCGTTGGTTACGTTTAATTCAAATTAAAATCGTAATACGTATTATGGACATATAATTTTCCTACATTGCAATAATGACAGTGTCGGAAAACATGAGAGAAAATACAATCTCTAAATTATGTTCAGACGAAAACGATAGAAGATTACACAAGATCAAAATAACACGTCTGTTTATAAATATGGGTTATAATACTGGAACGTAATTTGAGTTCCTAGTACGAAACTTCGTCAACCCACAGTATTTTAATTGGCTACGAATTTCCTTTCCTCTTAGGGCTCTGAAGCGGTTCACTTCTCCGTCCTAAGTAAAAACATTATTCTCAGCAACCTATTTCAAACACCCTCAGTCCAACTCCTTCCTGTAAAGCGAAAGACCAAGTTTCAAACCCATACGAAACAACAGGTAGTATTATAAATGTGCTTAGTTATTTCAAATAACACTTCACAGGATATTAAAACTTACGGTTTTATGAACAATCTACTGCAGCAAAATTTCTGTGAGAATTCAATGCAGATGGGTTCAACAACTTGTTTACACCTCAATCGTGAACCATTTGTTAATGTGATCTCTTTACTATCTCAACAGAATTTCTTAATTTCCTAGGGATAAGATTAACAAGGAAGCAACGCCCTCTTAGAAAGATAAAGTTAATTTGTTGACTTTAAATTTTCCCAGATAAATTTAATTATTATTACGGATTCAGTTCTTACAGATGAATACAGGCGGTAAAAATTAACATATACAAAATATAAACAGGAAAAGAGCGGATAAAAAATCCTGGAAATAGCGCTGAACAGAAAACCTCTCTTTAAGTTGCCTCTGACTTTCAATCTATAGAAACCAAAGTCGTTTACTTATCAACAGAATAATCGACAATACACGACCCGTCTTGTATGTCTTGAATACGACAGGGAAAGTAAGACTTAATGAACTTGTGCAGGTGTCATTTGCCATAAAAAAAAATGCCGTCAGATTCCTCACAAGGTATCTAGAATTACAAAAGTATACATGGAATTTAAATTTTTTTATGTAAATTCGGTACAGATTTTAAAATAATTTATACTGATTTTATGTAAGAATATTGATAACATAATTCAATGTGTTACGAGTCAGAAAAATTAAAGTGGGAAGAAATTACGTAAGACCTGAACCTCAGTTCCTACTTTGTATGTTACAAGTATGAGAATATAGTTTTACAGATAACATGGCAGACAAAAGTAAATAGGTTATACGACTCAAGAACCCATGGTAATGAGTGAGCTAACAAATAAAATACACTTGAACTCTTAATTACGTTGTAAGTAAAGTTTTACAAGGATATTCTTAAGGTAGTATATTTGCGTCATATTGTGAATTAGGTTAATATTTTAATATTTTCCGTCAAATCACAATTTTAATAAGATTTACAAATTGGAACGTTCCAATTTGTAAATCGATCATTCGATGCGGAACGTGAAATGATATTTTAAATATTTTATTATCTTATTAAAATTGTGATTTGACGGAAAATATTAAGGATATTCTTACCATGGCAAAATAATTGACATAACTCCCAATAATGTTTTAAATACGTAATAAAGAGACTTTATAACATCCTACAAGTATATGAATCCCGTATGACAAAAATTGATATGTAACAATCTGCGATGTAATGTTCCAGTGCGTTAATTCCGTCTCCAAGAACGTACCATACGCTGAAGAATAATCTCGCAATTACAAAGGTCTAAAAATGCACCATTCCCTAAATATTTTCATATTCGTTATGAGAGGATTATGTATAATTTAACAAATTAGATGTGTGAGAAAACTGTAAAATACATTTCACAACTCTTTAATTTGCAAATTCAATCATAAATATGGTTTAGGCAGATTACCATTTAATTGCTAAGAACGTAAGTACTTACTTGAGACAGAACACTGCTGATCTTAAAGCTTGCTGTGATACTATGAAGTATGAGCGTATGTCATCGCAAGTTTTTATCTGACACCTAGCAATAATTATATTTGTGTTTGGAAAATATGGTGGTTTACGCGTCAGTAGTTATGTCGCCGCAAGCAGACCTAATTATCCGGAAAAAAACTTTAACTGGATAGGACCTCATTGTTTGTCATTCCGCTTATCCGCTGTTTTAAATATGGAAACATAAAAATAGAAATATCGGCACTGAAGTACACCAGCAACTGCAAGGCCTTTTCCGCCAGTACAGATATTACAATTGACGACAAAAGCGTAGTTTAATTACTGCGACCGACAGTTCATCGGGATCATTAGAAAATGTGGCTAAAGTTGAAATACTTTGGACAGACAGAATCAAGTCCAAATTATATTCTGAACTCAAAACATTCGAAAAATTCACCTTGTTCACGGTATTCTATTACCTCGAACAAGACCCTCAGATTATAAATATAGTTTACAAAACTATAATTGTTGCTTTCTGTGGGTCAGAACCTTGGTCTCTCAACCCAGGAGAACAGATTGCCTTTAGTTTTTCAGTAACATGTGATTATTTCTTCCAAAGAGGCGAAGAGGGCGAGAAAGTGCCTTCAACATAAAATTTAAATTCAGCTAAGAGTTATGAAGTTGCGATGTAAAAAGTAAAATCACAAAATATTTTATATACAAACACGCATGCGCGAGCCAGTAAATCTTCACGTTGGTATGACGTCATGCAAACCAGAAGTTCTAAATGAAAATTGGATTCTCTGGAAGATCGCACAAAGCGACATCATTACAAAGAACGATCTGTTAATAACACTACATAAAGGATTTGTTCTTATGTAGGATTTGAGGTTTTCAGAGCGATGAGTCTGAAGATTTCTGTCTTCTGGTTTATTGCGCCGTAGTCATTCATCGCCCTGATGACGGAGGCAGTATAACCTCTGAAACGTTGGTTAACATCGACCAGACTACACAGCGCAACGACCCAGAAGACAGAAATCTTCATACTCATCGCCCTGATGACGGAGGCAGTATGACCTCTGAAACGTTGGTGGAAGCCTACCAGACTACACGGCGCAATAACCCAGAAGACAGCAGTCTTCAGATTTGCTCTTACGTATAATGGCCGTTAAAATTGTATGAGCTGCTTGAAAATTAAATGGCTTGACATTTTACTATAGAAGACCCCAACATCAAATTCGCAAAACTTCGTTCCAGTTATTACACATGAACGGACGGAAGGACAAGGTGACTGCAGTAAGTGCCCCTCAAGGATGCAAACGCCAATGAAAAGACCTGAGTTATCAAGTTTATCTTGAAGAATATCGTATCAAGAACGTAACATGTGACTGGCATAAGAAGAAGGCAGTGGTGTATTCATTTACGAAACGATACTTTTTACAGGAATGTACATTTCCTCGTAAATTTTAGTACACCTGTACTGACACTGTTTCATGTTACACAATTTCGGGTTTCAGCTATGGTCGGCACATTTCCGTATATTATACGTTACTTCTTTAATCTATATGCGCCATGACTTCAATTCCTTGTAACGAAGTACAAAGCTTATCTGTATCATATATTATGTTACCACTCATACAAAATAACTTAAAATATCTATTCTGCAGAGACTTTGTGTTTATTAATTTTCACTTATTAAGTAAACAAAAGCACATCATCTATAACAGGGAGTACAAGTAGGCACAAAAAAGATTAATATGCGTTCATAATAACCAGTCACTTATCTTTGTATACTAGACACACTAATGTATTCCTGAATCACTAACTTGCAATTAAAATTGTCACATGTTTTCTAGGCATAAATATTTATGATTAAGTAATTCACTAAATATTGTTTATAAAAATTAATTCCTATTTAAATATATTCCTTTACCTTCCGAATTCTAATGTAAATGAGTAAGGCGTAGTACTTACCAGCCAAACAGATATCTTATATCACTAGACCATACAGTCAGGAAATATCAACAAGGAAAACTTCAGCATACTAATATATTCATGTCAACTGACATTTTACTTGAAAAGATAACTTGTCCAAGATAAACAAAATTATAAACAATTCTTACTAATAACAAATATGAGCTGGGATAGCTCAGTCAGTATAGTGACTAGCTACGGGCTGGACGACCAGGGTTCGATCCCCGACGGGGGCAGAGGATTTTTCCTCTAGCCTCTGCGTCCAGACCGGCTCTGGGGCCCACCCAGCCTCCTCTACAATGGGTACCGGGGTCCTTTCCCGGGAGTAAAGCACGGCCGGGGCGTGATGCTGACCACTCACCCCCATCTAGTGCCGAGGTCAAGGAAGAGAGGAGCTATACCTCCACTCACCCCAAGCGCCTGTACGGTACGCAGAGGGACAAACTTTACCAATAACAAATGATTATCATTCAAAAATTCTTACATAAATTATTCTAAATAATTTTCAAATAAAATATCATAAAAGAAATAAGGTTATGCTTTATAAATTAATCTTTACATTAAATCTTAATATTCGAATTACATAATCATTTGGCATGTATTCAAAATGTATGGAATATTCAATATATCTCATAAATAAAAAGCAATCCTTAAAGCATATTTTGAACATGGGTCCACATAAATTAGAAATAATATCCCAAGGTCTTAATTAATTTGAAACAGTGTTTTAGTTTGCAGATAAAAGCAATTCGCCACGTTAAGGCCACAAGTGCTTGAAAGGAGATACTGGTGTTAACAACAGCGTATAATATACAGCAATTATTGAAATAAGTACACGGAGTTCTCACGCAAACACTTGCTCAAACATTACACAGCCATCAGACTTTCTGTCAGAATTACTTCGGTAAGAGACACTAATTACATCACAATACCAGCACCTTGTCGTGGTGGGACTCGAGTACCTCAGTGACCCCAAGAGCTATGCTGGCGGTAGCATAGCTACTGGTAGGGCCACCCTAGCCAGATTGGTCGAGGGGGAGACAGGTACCCTGGTCCTCCAGGTTGGGGGTTGGTCGCAAGGCTAACAACCTTGCACAGTAAAAAGGAAGATGATTCTAAACCTCAATAAAAGCCTTGGACAGATGGACCCAACAGAGGACCGAATGGAACAGGGGAACTGAGGAGGCCATGGACCGAATACAGACCGGACAGCCACAGAAGAAGAAGAAGAACTGCTTTGCAGAAATTAGAAATTTATAAAATATTTGTGGATACAGCCTTTGTAAACAAGTACAATATAACATGCAGTAAACTGATAATTTTTAATCTCAATGAAAACAAAACAAGAAAAGAAGATAAAATTGACAGGCCCAGGTATAATCCTAATAATCCTAAATACCATCACCAAGAGTAAAAAAATTGATAGAAAATCTGTCAGTATGATAACCACCTGAAGACAGGAACAGAGCCAACACCTGAAACATGATGTATTAACAAGTACATCTCACAGAATGGACAATGCCAGTACAATAGTCGTATAAGGACCCTGGGGTATGAAATATCATGTGAGGACGAGATGAAGAAGGAACTGGCGTAAGAAGTATCCAATGCTGAGCTTTCATATTAGCTGTATTGTGCCAATGGGTTCTAATACCAGATAAATATGTTGGTTCAGGGGTGATCGCCTCAGAATTCCTACACTACTGTTCCGTATTACGTGCACTACTGGATCATCAAACTACATCTGTCACACATTTGCTGTCATAACCAACAAACATTTGTTTAATGATCCAGATATACCTTAGGTTAAGTCTTATACTCCATTACCCCACGAATTATGTGCAAAAGATATAAAAAATTATGTAACAATAAAACAAAATTCACTATTAATAATCACTCTACCATTTCTTATTTTGAACACTCACATAACATCATGAAATTTACAGACCATACAGGAACGCAGATTAAGCACCATCACAGATAATCTTTCTAGAAGATGGCTCTCTTCTGGGTTGTTGTGTTGTGTAGTCTGTCAATTTAACAACATTTCAAAGGTGCCTGCTGTCTCCATCAACAGGGCAATAAGTAGTCCTGATGATGGAGACAGCAAGCACCTCTGAAACATCAGTGAACTTCTGCCAGACCACACGGCACAACAACCCAGAAGACAGCCATCTTTATACTCGTTACTATGAAAACCTTAAATCTTACTATATTTTTCCTGTCTTCTTTATTATAATCATGCAGCTTTAATCTAAAAGAAATTATACATTGTGATTCTAATATTTAGCCCATTATCCTTATTCTGAATGTTTACAAGGTAGTTTGTATTTATGTACAATTCATAACAAACTTTCACTGCCAAAGGCTAATAGTACCTCCAACAATAATTCCAGGACTTTCAGTATAAACCTAGGACAGTGCCACACACTGCGGGAAATCTTATGACACTACGCTGCATGCATATATAAAAAGAAAGAATGACACATCAAGAAGGCTATGCCCACTTCCCCATTCTATCTAGTGGAGAGTCAAATGTATTGAAAATTGTAAGATTTGAGGTTTTCACGGCGGTGAGTATGAAAGTTTCTGTCTTCTGGGTTGTTGCGCTGTGTAGTCTGGTTCATGATTCATCACCCTGATGACGGAGGCAGTATGACCTCTGAAACGTTGGTAAACATCGACTAGACTACACAGCGCAACAACCCAGAAGGCAGAAATCTTCATAATGAAAATTCTTTTTAACAAAATCAAATAGTAATAAATTTAATAAAGTAGTAGGTACCTGATGATAAAACTAATTAATGATTATACACATTGTAGCAGAATACACCACGCAAATGAAACACAAACATAATTCACAAATGATGAAAACCAAACAAAAGCTACAATATGTAAAGACCCAAAAAGATAAAACAGAAAACTGTAATTTATTTGACTGAATATTAACAATTACTAACATACAGAATGCACACATGCTATAAAACAATTTTATTTAAAAGTATATAACCATATATCCATTCTACTACTTTTAATAAAATCAAGTAATGTTTTATTTATATTACCACACATGACCATAATAGACGTGAGACTCAACAAAATGTGTATGTAAAAAGTATTGTTATAAATTAAAAGTGTTAACACTTTCACACTAAATAATATACCTTAAATAGAGTATTTATAAAAGCAACTCATACAAAACAAAAATATAAAAGTGGTAATAAATCCTGGAATGTAAAAATATTTACGCACATGCAGATTATGTATTTAATATGCTTGGTCACAAATCTGTGCATTCTCACTTTTATACAATATCACCTCTTTAAGAACATGTTGCGACTTTGTAATTAGCATAACTGGCTCACGATATCCACAGCCATAATGTCATCACAGTTTACTCAGTGCACGACCAACTTTTGAAGCAGACTGCCTATTTAGGACACCGCATATATATTCACCAGCTTCTATTACCTTTCCCAAGTCCACTCCAGTCTCAATACTCATTCCATTTAACATATACACTACATCCTCAGTAGCTACGTTACCAGAAGCTCCCTTGGCATACGGACAGCCGCCAAGACCAGCTACAGAGGAATCGACGACAGAAACGCCGAACTGGCAACAGACAAAATGGAAACTGGCTGACATTTAGAATCATCTCCCAACTCTCAATATATTAAGCGAAATAAAGAGAGTCTCCTATTTATGTTAATACTATATGATATATCTTGAGCGGTAAGTGCAACACGAATAAACAACTTTTAAATTATATCATGTTTCTGAGAAACACAAATCAAAGACTACCTGTACGCCACAACGCACTGAAATAATCCTATGACTGCCAGACATAATAGTACAATGAATACAGTAAATACCAACTTACGGTAAAAGGTTGACTTATGTTCATGTTTAATACACACCTTGATGGAGTAAAGGTCACTAAGTTAAAGAATTCTATTGTGTTCGCATGATTCCATTAAGAGAAAACACTGAGACATAGGAAAACAACACCCAGTTCCTTCATGTTAACAAATATCTCCATACTACCCTTTCCGCAGTTGAATATCTCGTAAAACATCATTCCTGTGGTACAACATACTCCTTACTACCCCATTTGGGATGCTTGTAACTTAAACTAAAAGCTCAATTAGAAGAAGATTTGACAATAAGAAGGAAATAACAGGGGGAAAAAAACAACACAAGGAATTAAGGAAATTCTGAAAGAAGAGTTCCAGCCAAAATGGGAGGATCACTGGAACTGGACTATTCAGTTACAAGCAATCACTTCCAAGAGTATAAACTCTTGTAGTCTGAGGAAATCTGTGCATCTGAGGTCCATTAGAGGTACAACACAAGGAGATCAGAGGGGTAGCAGGTACAGAAATACATACTGTCCATACTATAAACATTATTTCCCAGCAATGGTACTTTGTCCAGTAATCTCTTTGGTTTACAAAGTATGTGTTTCTTTTCCTTCTACCGGCAAAAACACTTTTATCCTGGGTACAGTGTTCTATCAAATCAGTCTAGAACTTTTTACACTTCTTACCTCAAGTGCTGTAAGGATATTGGCGAGTGCTTGACCATACGTGTCATGGCAATGGACACCTAGTTTATCTACTGGTATATATTTGATAACTTCTTCTAACACGGCTCTCATCGAACCTGGTGTACCGACACCGATAGTGTCCCCAAGAGAGATTTCATAGCATCCCATGCTGTATAGAGCATTTGCTGCCTGCAAACAAGATGGCACATTAATTTTAATGAGGCTACTGGAAACAGATTATTTATTCTAGTCTGTGGCTATACGCATCTTCTGTTTGCTAATGTATATTTACATAACATTTATATTTAAAATTCTAGTTATTATTGAATTACAGCATTTGGGTCAGTCAGTATAATTTAAAAGGAATTTTTTGAAAGCTTTTATTAGGTTCTTAAATATCACCCAATTTTATATAGGCAATGTAGTAAATCGTACATTCAGTCTAAAATAACATAACAGATTTCTATATCACATCCACAATTTTTCACTTGTTACAAAGCATATTAACTCAAATACATAACCAACCTTCGCAACAGCTGTTGGGTGAATTGCTCCTTCATATGGGCAACCACATACGCAAGAAACATAACCTCGAACCCGCAATCCCTTGTCCAGAGCTGCTTTTGCCACTTTATTGAAAATCTCATTACTCTGAGCCACTGTGCAATTGATATTCTTCATGGTGAATGTTTCAGACACAGCTCCAAAGATGGCAATTTCTTTTGCACCTGCTTCTACCTAAAGATGTGACACAGAAGAACTAATGGCTGAGAGAAAGGCAAGAAAATGGCTAGTCTAGGGGCATGGGGATTTCTGTAATTGTTTAGCAGATTTGCATTGCATTTTTCAAACCCAAGATTACTAAGGTGACTTTGAATGATGGACTTGTAAAGGATGTGGGACGCAGTGACCCCAAGAGCTACTGGTAGGGCCTCCCTAGCTAGATTGGTCGAGGGTGAGAGGTCAGACTAAGACAGGTACCCTGGTCCTCCAGGTTGGGGGTTGATCGCAAGGCTAACAACCTTGCACCGTAAAAAGGAAGATGTTTCGAAACCTCAATCAAAGCCTCGGACAGACGGACCTAACAGAAGACCGAATGGAAGAGGAGAACTGAGGAGGTCATGGACCGAATACGGACCGGAGAGCCATAGAAGAAGAACTGAATAATAATAATAATAAAAAAATCTGTCAGGACAAAGAACCTGAAGGAGAAAAGCTGAACATCACAAATTCCCAAAAAAAATAAAACAGTAGTACCAACTATTCAACTGTAACACTTGAAACTTTATAATATGCTGACTGCACATTTCACCTATGTGACAATATACCAACATACTTATTGAGAATTCAGTTTAAAATGGTTTCTAGTTTCAAAATAAACCTAATGAAAAATAACACAAGTCAACTAACTTAACTTAATCCATCAGCAAATTCTGATATTCAAGAAATATGAAAGTACAGCTAACAGTTAGCAAAATCTTTTTAACTTCAGTAACAAAACTATAGACATTAAACAGGAAATAGAATAACTACATCTAGTGAGCAAAAGACACATAAGTAAGTAGTTACTGTATTATAAAGATACAAGAAGAGATGAAAAGTACATATGCATATGAAAACTGTTAATTTGTGAAAACAATCTCTAGCAGACAGTCCAAATGTAATATGAAATATAGTTTCTTCAAAATCAATAATACATTTAATAAGTTACATTACTGATGTAAATTTTGTAATACACACTTACTGCTCCTGCAAGGCCTTTCATATTTGGTACAAGAACCGAATAATTCACTTCTGGATACTTTGTAATACGTTGCAATACTTCTGCATGATCAGACAGCTGGGGTACCCATTTTGGTGAAACAAAACTTGTAACTTCAATTGACTTCAGTCCTGATCTGGAAAGTTTGTCAATGAGCTCTACTTTAACATCTGTAGGTACAATGCTCGGTTCATTCTGTAGTCCATCACGTGGACCAACCTCCACAATTCGAACTTTCTGAGGGTACAAAGTTCTTGAATTTACAACTGTCTGAAACAAACCAAATTTTACATAAAGAGCCATTACATATCAAGTGCATGGTACAAACTAAATGACTGAATAGACTTCAGCAATATCTTCCTTCAGATCTAAAACAAGAATAAAATGGTTATTCCAACATCACAAAAAAGCTTCTATGAATATTAAACTAAAAAGATGAACAAACATGTTCATGAATACAACACTTTTGCAGTTAAGCGTTATGCATATTTTGAAATGGAATCTTAAGAACAGCAAAAATAACAGTGGGGTTAGACTTGTCTCTGTATAACTGCAGCCACTAACAAGTCCTTTGTCCATCTCCCACATGATACATGAGTGAATATAGAGCATCACGAGAATAATAAGAGGGGAAAACTGAAGGACTTCACAAAAATACCTATTCCAATTCCCCTTTGTACATTACATATTATGTGCCATAATATTACCCAACCTTGTTCACAACTAAAACTATACATAACCTCACCTCTATTTCCGCACATGCGTATTTGTATCTCTTCCGACACTGCTGTGTAAATGACTTCATTAAATCCCACATCTTATTTCATATTTCTGTTAGATACTGAACACTTCTGACACGCTTTTATGTTCTTGTTCGTTGAAATAGTTCAAATACCGTCAACTGTACTAACGTCAATGCTTCAAAATGTATATCAATTAACTTAATTTATATATTCAAAGAACAAACATTGAAATTATAGCATAATAAATTAATCTCTATTAGTCTCCCTACTTACTGATGAATTTCGGAACACAATGCGTATACATTTTATTGATGTATTAAAATAACTACCAAACATTGAGGACACCAGCGGAGCCATTATCCAGTTTAATCATATTTCCGCAACTGCACACAGCGCTGGTGTCCTCGTACGTCATTGACATGGTTACTGCAACCAGGAATAACATTAGGTTAAATAAATAAATAAATAAACAAACACAAATTGCATTTATCAGCATGGAAATTTGTCACTATGAGAGTGCTCCATTTTTATGATATATTAAGCAAGCCGAATGTCAAACAAGAAGAGTTTCCAAGTAATTTATTTCTATCTCTTACGTACGTACTAGGTGATTCTTACGACCTTGTTCGGTGACTTTCAAGGCGGTTTATTCACCCCTTTTCTCCTTATTACAACAGGAACAACACATAAAAAATGCCACAAAAACGCAAGCGTTCCTAATACATCTAAATTATAGTTCACGGTGTTTTATTTTTAGACCTTGGGCAAGACATTCTACCCAAAGCATCGTGACGTCCCAAAAACCATTTCTAACAGGCCTATAAAGTCTGATGTTTTTTTCATGAAATTGTACGTCGATGTTTTCTATTTTCTACTCGCAAGGGCAGTAACCTTACAAATGGGTGTACACTGAATCAAAAGTGTTTAAAGAAGTAAAACAAAAACGTGACTGAAGACGTTATTTTAATACGATATTAATTGCTACTTCTTAAGAAATATGTTGGCCTTAAACAAAATATTTACAAGCTTGCGTGTTCTATTTATATATGTACAGTTATATCCATAAAGTCAGCAGGATAAACAAACAAATGAATATTATAAATAAGCCCTATTAGGAGAAACTATCCTAAAATGACATAGCTGGGAAAAATTACACCCTCGTTATTGACATACGTATTCATCCAATAGTTCTAAATTTCGCGACGTAAGTTTGTCACGTTGGTACTTCAGTCAAGTGAGAAATGGCGTGTTGAACAAGCGCGGTTTTGAAGTTCTGTGTAGAAAACTATGTTCTCTGCAGTTTGTCTTCCGATTTTACAGTTACAGTTTGTCAAAATTATTAATCCGAGATTTGTTATCGGTTTACTGAAACAGATATCCAGCGAGGACTTTGGAAGTAAGTCATAATTAATACTAATTGATTGAATCAAAGTTCTTGTTTTTTTTTTAAAGATTGTGGAGAACAGGTGCAGCCAACTTCGGTTAAATGACATGCCAGGTTTGTGTGTAAATTCTGTTCACAGACCAAATTACACAGAGTATATTTACCTTTGCAATTCGATGTTTACTTCTTAATGCTGTGAAGAAGTTAACTTTTGCTGGATGCTGCTTTTATTGTGACAGATCACTTTTGTTTGCTGTTTATTTCCTCTATGTTTAATATGTTGTTAATCACAATAATATTACATGTTCTGTAATCTTTATTGGTTAACATAACAGGAGATGATGGGAAAAGTATGTCGTTTACCCGGGGCTTCGGATTAAGATGAGAAACTGTGGCTATTTCGATAATATTTATTCTTTTAAAAATACTCATATGAAGCTTATCTGCACATGTAACACACGCCATACAACACAAAAAGCATGCAGCCATACATTCAGAGATCAGCGGTAATAAGTTAGATCGATTTACATTTGTAGCATATAGTTTTAGGCCAGAATCTCCTGTCTCTGACTCACATTCGGTTAGTACAGGACTCTACGAATTTATTAGTAAGTTACTTAATGACGATGTTTCAACAGCAGAGGTTTATTATACAGCATCGAATGGCATGAGTTGATAAATATCTGGCTGAAGATACAATCGAGAGTCGATCACGAGACCAAGGTTCACATCAAGTACCTTCTGAATAAAATTCAGCAGCGTGCTCCAACCTGCTTGGTACCGACATCGAATCCCGATCTCAGTTTATCCTGACAGACACAAATTTACACGCTGTCTTTGCTTGCAAAATATGATAAGTGGGTTACACATAACCACACTATTTCAAGTAAAGTTGCATGAGCTGTACAAACCAATAAAATATAACGTGTTTGTCTCCCTATGCTTTGATAGGCCGAGAATGAAATCGACTTTTCAAAGAATTCCCTGTACCATAGAGTGAGCCCGTTATTCCATTCTTGTATTATATGGCCTACGGCTTCGATTTACCCTTTCAATGCTAGTCGTTATTGAAATAACCTTATTCTATTGGCAAGCCTGTCTTTCCAAAGTGACATGTAATTTATATTGTTAAAACCCACGAACAATTATCATTAATTGCTCAAAGATGTTGGGGGATTTTTTATTGAACTTTTGTAGATAGAAGAAAATTCTGTGCGTTTTGAGTGAGATATCTGGTGAGCAGCGTGGAAAAGGGTTGAATACTAATAGTCTTTGCTAACAGAATTAATCAAGAATGCATCGTTAAGAAACGAAGAATGTGCACACTAAATCCGCCTGCCATGGTATCCTGGGAAATCGGATTTATTTAAACAGGAAATTGTGGAATGTGAGGCACATCCCTAGTTTCTCTTTCGCGGACTATCAACCGTCACTTGTTTCCTTGCTTAGAGGCAAAAAATTTGAGACAGCAGAACGTAACCTCATTTGCATGTTTATTGGATTGAGCTCTCAAGGAAAGAAAGGAGCATATTTTGAAAGTTTATGACACTGCACTACAACCACATTCAAAACCAAATTTAATTTAAAAAAAACAATTAAATTAAATATTACGTTACAGATGTAAGGTTGACAGTTCCATTTTTCTTTGTTTTAATAATCTTTTCTCAGTTCAAATAAGATGTGATGAAAATAATACTTTAATAAAGCAAGTTACAGAATATTATGACACGGGTCTTGAATGTTACCGAAGTCATTAAATGTTTGGAGCAAAATGGTCGTAAGTCCAAAACAAATGAAAAATTGTTTTATATGTATAACCAAACCATGGCAGGCGTCTTTCATACAAACACAAGGAAAATGATTTGCATTATTTGTGAATCAAATTTTAACACGTATTTATTATTGTTATAAATAGACAGGATAGTTCAGTCAATAACATTTTTCGATTGGTGTTCGATTCCCGGTGGGAGCAACGTTTTCTCTCTTCACCACAAGTTCGGGCCAGCTCTGGGGACCTCCCAGTATCGTATCAAATGGGTAGTGGGGGATTCTTTTTAGAGAGTGGTCAGAGTTTGAAGGTGACCAGTCACCACCAAAATACAGGAAAGCGTGGAATTATATTTACACAGACAATTCCATATCGGACCCGTGGAGTCAGGCACAAGGCTGCCTTTATATTTCATTACTTAATTCAAATTTTCTCCATGTCCTTCTTGCACCAAACAGTTGAACTGTATAGAAAGCACCCGTGTCTAACTCTGCTGCGTTCGTTGCAATGCAAGGATGTGAATTTTTTTACCGTCTTATCCTTCCAATTACAAAAGTAATCTTAGAACATACATTTTAAGCAAATGGTTGAGGAAGGGGGAATAAATTAATTTATGCAACATTGATAAAATAGGTTATGTATACAGTTTCTTGTAGTGCGATACCCAAACTACAAGGCAGTCACAAACGCGTTTCATCACAGTTACCACGGCAATTCGAAGGCGCCTGTCAGTAATTTGTTTAAACTATATTCGCAGTCATGCGTCATTTGAGTTATTATCGTAACGTCTAGATCTCTGTCCGTATTTAATTTGTTATAGAGTTTATTATAATTTATCGTGATCTCGAAACATTTCTATGTGAGAAAAGCAAATTTCTTTTCTTGTTGTGTTGTGCAGCCTTGGTTTTCACTTTCATCTTGTGAATGGTGAATGCCAACAATCGCGTGGCGACCGGACCAGTGCCATCTGTAAGCGGGTTTTGTGTTGCGTCGTTGCATATACGTGAATTAAATGTCGATCGGGCGTTGCGCGCCTTGAATATTCTTTTGTGTGTCAAACAGTTCTTCTTCAGTTTCTACTTAACGTCGTCTGCTGTTCGTCAGCGATGTTGAACATTGTGTCCGTGATCAAATGAAGAATGAACAGCGACTGTTTTGTGTA